TGTGGAGAAATGGGCATGGGATTCTTCAGCGCAGTGCTGTAGAAACGTGTTGAACTTCAATTGCGCCTGCCATCCTGTCTACGGTATAGACAGCACAGGAGCATTCCCGCCAGCACACATGGTTTCAGCCGCGGAAAGTGACACAGCACACATTGTACACAACAGTCGTGCAGAACAAGATCTTATTGCAAACCACAGGAGCTGCACTAAACAGAACGACCTGGCAAATCAAGCAGCGTTACACAACATGATGTTAGTGTGGAGGTGTTTGCAAGTAGCGACGGCTTCACCGCCTTGGACCTTGGATGTTACCCTGGCACAGCACAAAACGATATATAGGCTAGATGTTCGCACAAGTTGGCCCGAACAGATATCGTCTCATATGTGGCTTCTCGTGCCTCCTATGCTCATACAGCAAGGTCCATGTACGCCATGCACTGCTCCCGCACAGCTGAGGAGGGTGCCCCCAAAAGGAGTTGGCTTCCGAGTCACTGGGGCTTCCTGGCAACTTGCAGAGGCTTGCCGATACACGAGCTTGCCTGGAAAAAAAGGCCCAGATACGTGGAAATAAACTTAGCAAACCAAAACCACGACCTGAGACCGTTTCGTCTGCGTGCCTGCGCCGTCCTCACCGGCTGTGTCCCCGTCGTGCAGCTGTGGGTGTGCGAGAAGCCAAACCTCGGAAATCTGCCATGGAGGCACCGTGCACTTGATCTCAGGCTGGCAGGAATCAAGCATACTCTAAATACAATGCTTTCATCGATACGATTTGGCACCATCCATGCCACGCGTGTCTTCACGGCTCTTCCGCAAAGCCCCCGTTTGTACCGTCGTATTGCTGGCTTTGAAGAGTGAAGAGTCAGCTTGACTTGACTTTCTGATGTCATTCCACAGGCCAGAACACGTGATGTTTCTCGGGTCAGCAAGGCTAATTGAGGCTAGCTGCTCTACTAATGAAAGGTACCCAAAGCAGGAGGGTCAGAGGCTGAGATGCGAGCAGTCATGCTCGTGACATCTGTGCCATCGGATGTATGATTCGCTTCGTCAAGGAGGCTGGAAATCCGTTAGTGTGTTGACACTTTCCTGTGCATTGACGACAAAAACTCTAGTGCCACTCATGAGTTGACTGGCAGCAGGAGGACTCGGATTAGCACGACCATTCCGCACAATCAATTTCATCGGTCTGCCGTGCCACCAGTATAGCACTTCTGTTGCAGCTGATTTATGATGACATGGCATGACTCCTGTGTCAGTTTATGGAACGTTTGGTCTAAAAACAGGAGTATTGAAGGGTGGTCGCATGCAGATCTCAGCGCTGTACCCGAGAACGTTTCTGTAGCAGCGGGGTAGCAGGCTCTGCGAGCAACTTCCGTATTGGGCACTCTCCACCATAAAGGCGTCGACGATCCGCGGAAGATAAACACAAGCAGCTCATACATCAGCTTCGATTCCTTAAAGCCCTCAACTCCCTCCCGAGGCAGCGGCTAATCCTCTTCGCCAAATGAGGAGCTGGACGGCCTCCACCTGCCGGCGGGCTTCAGCCTCAACAAGGAATCGTAAGAAAACAGACTTCGAAATTCCTAAACCCTGACCCCTAACCCCTAAAACCTAAACCTTAACCGTCCTGTCTTTTGCCAAAGGGGAACGAACGCCAAGGCTTGGCTGACCTCCTTGTCTTTGGCACTGGGCCACAGCGCCCTGGAGGTGGTCGGAGCTGCACGAAACCTAAGCGAGTCTTCGGGAGGGGGTTCTAGTGGCCCCGGGAGACGAGCCCTCGCAACCTTCATGTCAGACGCAGGATGCACATCTCCCTTACTCGTCCCTCTATCTGCTTTTGCACCCCGGTCTTGACGATTCTGTGTTTGAAGCTTCGTGGCTCAAGCACAGATCATGCAATAAGCATGATGGAAGCGGAGCAACTGCTCGAACCGCGACAGCCTATTTGGAATACCGTTCGTTAAATAAGGCTTGCACGCGTTGTTTCACAATGAGCCAGCATCTAGACAACCGCTTGACGCAATGTGCTGGGGGCATCACAGTAGTTGCAGCATTGCACGCCACAAATCCGGAAGTGCGAGACTTCTGTGCGATGTCTGCCAAGGTCATGGATCACAACACACACCCCTTTTTGCCGTGTCAAACCTGTTCGCCTGGCATCACTGTGCAGGCAACTTAGCAGAGTCCGGAGAGTGCCTCGACCACGAAGTTGCGAACGGCCTTGAGCAGAAGCTAAGCCGTATTTAGCCAATGCTTCAGATGGGGGTTTCCGAAAATTGGGGTACCTTATTTTGCGGTCCTTATAATAATTATTTAGGGTACTATATTAGGGTCCCCTATTTTCGGAAACTCCCAGATAGTAACCAGGACATCGGACGATTCAAGGACCTTCGTGGATGCCGAGGGCTGCATGTTCCGTTTTGTAAGTATTTTGGATCATGCAGCATGGGCTGCTTAGAGAGTTTTGCCTAGATCGTAAAGTTTCAATCGAAGCCTCTGCTGCTTGGGCGAAACCCTCCTGGACCTCGATTCTTGGTTTAAAGTCACCAAGCCCCCATCCTTGGCCGCCCCCTGCCTCCATGCACAGCCGAGAGTTGGGAACAAGCAGCTGGGGCTCGGCATCACTGCGTGCCAAGAGCGCCTTTCATGAAGCAGAGTTTTGGAGGTTGTTTTGGGGGTCAGTCTAAATCGGGGTGCACACTGGCTTCGAAGCCGTCCCTTCTACACCAGAGGTTTGCAACTTCAACTGTCATTGTGGCTGAGGATTCGGGCTTTGCTTCTAGCTGTGCACGCTGGGCAGCTAGGCCATAAAGTGGATGTTTCAGGAACGATGGCCTGCACTGGCCTGTCAAGAGACGAGAAGCTGCTAGCATGCTACAATCACCACCTCGGGCTGAGGCGAGGCGGCCACTTTGAGCTCAAAAAATGTCCCGGCCACCTGTACGCCCTGCACCCCTGGCATATTGTACCTCGATGAGCCGAACCGGCCAGCCGATGGAAACGACGGGACCTGCACCAGCTTGCCGGGGGGAAGGCTGAGCCTCTTCCGTCAGAGCGCCGGGATTGGTGTCGGTAGCTTGAATTAACTTCAATTGCTTGGAAAGCTCTGCTCACGGACTCCAGTCTCTAGCCGCACCTCCGTCGTCAGCTTCTAAGCTCAAGAAGGCTGTGCCCACCTGCAGCATGAACCGGGTCTGCGAACACACCCACAAGAGCCCACGAATCCCCAAAAGCCTGAAAAATGGCGGTGATCGTCAGCTTCAGTGTGCGCTCGCTGAGATCCCGCCGCCGGATGGTATGGTAAAGCCCAACCTAAGCAGGTAACAAGCTATACCGACTTGGGCTTCATGAGCGTTTTGTGATCATGCATCTCTGATGCGTGGTTGGCACTAGATGGTCAAGTGTGCTACGATAGGCCATATGTACGTGCCTACAGCATGCGCCGCTTGAAGCTGCAGCCATGATGAAGTTAGTTGCCGAGCCCTCGGCATGAGTACAGATGCTCAGCTCCTGTATGGTCGAGACCTCCAGCAGCCTTATAGCGTCTTGAGATGATCAGCATGTGAGGGCGCTCCGACTGGGTCGTGTGCCGGCGACTAGACGAGGCCGCCTCTCGCTGACCCACCGTGGAAAGCAGGAGCCTGCCCACCCCACCCCCCTGTTCAATGCCTGCGTCCTACCGTGACTGTCTTTGTCAGAGGCGCCAAAACCATGTGCCTCAGGGCGAGCTTGAGGGTGTCGTAGCCATCCAAGACGTTTAAGGACAGCGAGCGGCGGGGGAGCACCAGCGACTGCGGAGCCTGCACTGACGCTCTGAAGAGGCAGAGGCGTGACGCAGCTTACACAGCTGACACCCACAATACTACAGCACCCGTGAAAGTTACTGAAGCCCATCAGAACAGGAACGACATCCCTTAAGTAGGGTCAAATGCACACATATGCTTCCAGAAAACGATGAAAACATGCTTTCAGAAAACGATGAAACATGGTGAAAACCCCCTTCAAGTAGGCACCGGACAGCAACGCTGGGCATGGGTGGTGGCTCTGCCCACAAGGGGAGGTCCTGATCCTTGCCTGACACATCCGAATGCAACTGGATGCAGGTGGAGCAGGAGATGAAAGCATTTCCCCCCACCTGGCTTGGCACTCGACACGCCACTGCGCAGCGCAATGAACAGCGCAGAGAGGTATCCGAGGAAGAGCCTGGCTCTGATGGCTTCGGAGAGGACCAGCTGCAGAGCCCCAAGCAGGGCAGAGAGGCTGTGCAGTAGCTGAGGAAGCCTGAGAAAAGACGTGGGCACATCCCAAAAACAGCGTCTACTGTGACAGTCAGCGCCAGACGATGAAGTCACTGCTGCAAAGTCTGAGAGCCATGCTTGAAAGCCGTCGGCGCCTCAAGGATGCATGTGTGGCATACCGTCAGGCACTGACATAGATAGACGGCGCTGCGGCTTCTTGTGATATGGAAGAACTCCAGCAACATCGCATCTGAGCTTGGGAGCTGAATTCTGAATCTTCAGTGCCCAACATTCCCTAAGCCTGGAGCCGCATCCTTTAGCTGAACACCCTAACAGAAATAAGGAGGAAATCTGAAGCTTAGACCCCATTTCGCCTGCACCGCTTCTTTGGCTCCCACCGGCGCCGGCCTCGGTTATTTAGACCCGATTTCCTGCTGCCTCTGAGATGTGTGACACCACTCATCCACACGAGTGCCTACTCCCAATCTAAAGCCATGCGCGGTTTCTGGGCCCCCTGACGTCTCCACCTCCCCCAGATTCCAGCCTTCACAGTTGCAGGCTCGCGATACTTTGCCCTGTGCCCTTCTCCTGTACTGTAGACCTTGCAGCTTTGCTGGCTTCAGTGTTTGGGTGCACTGCGTGGGGATTCGTCCCCAGCGGCCGGCAGTGTAATTTAGATGTTATCGCTTCAGAGAAAAACTCTCGATGGACAAAAGCCCGGCACCGAGAGAAGTACGACAAAGTTGGTTCGGTTGGATGAGGCATGACCCGGACCCATGAAGTGTTTTGGTTCATCTGGACCCCGTGAATGATGTAACGATGCCACAGCCCCAGTGAGGAATCAGCAATATTGATCTGCTTTGGCAGGGATTATCCGGAGATGGGCATGCAGCGTGCCGATCACCTCAACGCGCGGTACTTAGTTCTTTCTTGCAACCTGAACTTTGGAAATCCTGCAAAACAATAAACCCGGGTTGTCGCGAGGCGCCTCGGCGACAAGACAGACGCCTGACTCGCCTAGCCGGCAGGTGCGCCATCATTGCTACAATCTCCGGCTTCTCGCTGACATGGGCTGTCGGACTCTAGTGTTTTGCCCACCGTCGAAACGAAGCCAGGTTCCTTCGGAATCGGCCGGGTCTCTCTATGACCTAAAGTCAGCATCTTCAGTGATCCTCGTCCTCGCAGATGCATTCAAGCCAATGTCAGTGGACCTTGGTGCCTTCTGTCAGTGGACCTTGGTGCTTTTTGCAGTTCATAAATGCTCATAAGCGGAGAGCAGTAGCTGCGTCCTCTGGCAGAGGAGAGAGGTTGATCAAGCTGGCCATCAGCCCGTCGCGCCGGTAGTTCACCCAGTAGGCAGAGCTTCCCTTGTTGCCAAGGGCCTGTCGTAGCAGAGACGGGGATCAAGCCTCTGGCCGTAAGAGCTGTCACCGCAAAAAAAACGGATGTTACCTGTGAGGGCTGTGAGCCTCGAGCATCGGAAGCCCCAAAGCGTTCCAGAAGTGGTACTGTAGGCGCCGGGGTTCGAACAGGGCCCTGACCCAGCGATAGTTCCTGAGTCGATGCGACACACCGTCCGTCTCTGCATGGTTTCTATGCGCGGATGCCGCAGGTCGAACCTCCCCCCTCAACCACATGCTGCTATCTGCAGCCAGTATCCATACGGTGTACAGCGCAACGTTGTAGTCGTTGAAGGCCGCTGTGTTTGTCTCCTTGAAGTTGATACCATCCCAGCCTGATGCGAAATTTCAATTGGGCGGTACTTGCAGCGAGCATGCAAGATTTGGAAGCTGGTACCGGAAGGCAGTAACACCCCGCTCCAACCCGAAAGCTCCCGATGTTTGACATGAAGCGCATCCAGGCCGCTGAAGCTCGACAGAACGGAAAAGGCAGACACCAATAGTCCGAAAGCAACGTTTTGCTGCCGGTGCTGGAGCGAGACACGCTGCAATTCACCGATGCCCACCTGTTCGTTCTCCTGAAATGAAGAAGACAGGACACGATGCTTAGCATGACTGCGTAGCGTCACTAGTTCAGAGAAGCTCGAGCCCCGGGCATGAAAGACTGCCCAGGCGATGTTTAGGAAGAGGAACCACTTCTCTTTTGCGGCGTAGTTCTCTTTGATGTCGTCGCCACCGCCATGCTTGATGTCCTCGGTTTCCAGACATGTTTTGCCAATCGACATGGCTCAGACTAGGGCCGCGGCCAAATGCGCCAAGTAGTTCTGGATCCTGGAGCACAGCTCGCTTGCCCAAAGGCTGCACCACTCTGGAACAAACTGTGTTTGTAAGCCCGTGGCATGGGCAATCCCACGAGAACACCTGCAGGGTGGCTCGAAAGTAGCACCCTTTCGAGACTTCGCTTCGCATGTCGCGAAAGAACCTTTTGAGCAGCTTGACGACACGACAACCAAATCTCACGTCAATCCGCATTTGCAGTAATCCGAAAATGCACATGCATAGCGGAGCTCCACACAGACACATACATGCAGGAATCAAAGCGTGAGCCACAGCCCTGCCTTTGATCCTCGACCTTTGCACTGACTCTTCTGACTGCTGCTCGCCCTCTTCCACAGGGGAGTGCTTGAGATGGTTTGCCTCAACATGGCGCCACAACCGTGACACAGCTCTGTATTCAGCTCGAAATACAAGACCCCCAGAACAAGCGCCATTCCTTATCGCGGCATTTCATGCTACTAGAAGCCCCGATACATCACTCAATGACAATCACTAGCTGTCAGATTCGGTGTTGAACGCACCGACCACTCATCAAGATGCTGTGCTTTACCGCCGCAAGTCCACGTGAGGCTGAAAGTACCGCCGGAGCAGATCACGAACAACCGCGTTCATCGTATGGTTACGCTGCTTTGAACACAAACCGGCTCAACCAACCTGCAGCGAAGGGAAGCGCCAAACCCTTTCCAGCGTCATGCACGCTGTTCGCACAGATGGCGACCCTGAGCCGAAGCTGTCGGACTGCAGCTAAGTGCAGACCCCAAACTCTTTCCAGCGGCAAGCATGCGGCTTGCGCTGATCATCATTGTAAAGCTTCAGATCTTTCTGGCCTTAATGCAAGCCCCACCTTTCCAGCGGCAAGCATGCGGCTTGCGCTGATCAACATTGTAAAGCATGTGAAGCTTCAGATCTTTCTGGCCTT